GCATTCCAAAGACATCTATCTGGTCGTGGAAGAAGACAAAATGCTAAACTAAAGGAACTTTGGTCTCAGCTTGAAGATTATTTTTATGTTGTTATCATGATTCCAGCATGTGGAACTTTGTACTGAAATTGAATTAAGGGAAGTTCCATTTATGCAAGTGGTTTTAGATACTTGGTTCTAGATTGTCTTTTTTTAAAAAAAAAAAAGTATATCCTGTGATTTAGAATTAGGATACATTTGACATATTAAAGGAGCAGAAAAGAATCATTGTCATGGCAAAAAAAAAAAAAAACCCAGAAATTAATCTGATTGACCCTACTTCTAACTTATTTTATTGATACATATAGCTCTTTTTTGTAGAGCATCCCTAATAAAAAGAATTTGGGCCAAGAGGTCAGGACTCAAGAGAGCAGCTTCCCAGTCTCCAACAAAGCTTAGTATAGGATGTTTTTTGCCCTGAAGTGACAAGCAGATCACCTTTAGAAATGCTTCTAAATGAAAAAGTGACAAGGGGAGAGTAACCAACATCCACAAAACACAGCTATGGTTTTCAAATAACTTAGGGTAAATGCCTTTGGGTCCTGAGAGACAGTTCTGGCAATCTTCAGCTAGTTGGCTTCATGACCAACGTTTCCTGGTAGAACCCAGGCCACGATGAAAGGCTACAACTCGAGGAAAAACCATATTTCTTTGATTTGCTGTTTCTCTTGTTGGACTATGCACAAAATTTTAAACTAGAAAGAATGTTTGAGAGGAAAATAAAAGCACAGAAGTCTATCAACAGGCAGGGTTATTATGTGATGAGGAAATTCTGATCACAGCTTGTCTTTTTAGTAAATGTGCATACAGCACATTTATTTTTGCCACAGATGTGCACTGTTTTGTTTCATCAAATCATTCTCCTTCGTGAAAATATGACATTCCTAGTTTTTTTCCCTTTTTTTAAATGAAATTTTATTACAAAATAAAATATTTGGATTTTAAAATCTGTGTCAATTTCACCTGAAACAAACACATACTGATTTTACTCACAGCAGTCCCGAAATAAATCTGACATTTTCTACCAGAAACCCTATACAGACTAGTATTTAAGGAAAGGGGCGGTCAGGACATATTTCTCCTTCTACACAGAGTTTGGAGAGATAAGGGCACTTCTGTTTGGCTGACACAAGCATTCAATATAACCCTTATAAAAAAAGCTATTAGTAATCTCTCATGTTCAGGAGGTAAGAGAACCAAGGTCCCAGAAACACCATTTTTCAGTGATAGCCTTTGCCTTATGGAATAGCCTCCCCCTAAGGTCAGGTTGGTGCCCTGATGGGTATTCCAAAAGCTGGTTAAGACTGAACTGTTTTGGACAGCTTTGGGAAAGTGGATGCCTTTTGATTTTGGTTAGTTAGGTTGTTATTGTTATTTTATGAAATTATATCCTTACTGTTAATTGTCATGTTTTATTATGCTTTATGTCTCAGGATGTTAACTGCTAGAAGTTTATTACTGACAAATAATTAAACTGATGCAATACTGAAACTGGGGAATTGAAGTTCATCTCTTGAGGGTTTCTAGGACACACAGGTTGTGTAGACATGCACCAAGTAGAAGCAGGGACATTCATTACACTGAGGAACTAGAGGTATGTAGTATTTGAATCCAAGGTGAAAAAGGTGCTGCGATGGAATGTCTAACAGACCTTGGGAAAGCAGAGGAGGAAACAGGCCAGGAAGCATGAGAAAGAGACTCACAGCAACTTTGCCTTAATTACACTAGGTATAAGTTGAGCAGGAGAATTGATTCTGTTACTTTACCCTACTAGCAATAAAGATATTTTCAGTGGTTCTTATTTCCTAAGTCAGCCAACCTGGCAAGGCTTGATAGGTACATCAGATCATGGGCACACTCATTGTACCTGCTAGTGGCTCCTTCAAAAAGCCACACCATTTCAGGGGCTCACACAATAGCCATATTTTAATTAAGGAAGCATTAAGAAGGAAGCAACAGGGTGCAGCCATCTGCTGTACTCTGTCATGACCTTTTAATGTCTCCTTAACTCAAACTCACCGTTTTCTGGGATTGACTGTAGCTGACTAGTAGGACACATATTTTCCACCACCACCACCAAATACAAGGTTCAGTGTCTACTTAGTGTAGACTGTACCAGACAAAGTGAAAGAACGTTATGACTTGTTAAAATATGACATATTGTTAAAGAACAAGGGGGGCAGAGAAGGGACTCTCTTATATTCAGTAGATTTCAGTTAAAGTTTGGGATGTACATATTCTACGTGCTTGATGCCACCATGTGGCAGTATTCTGTATTTATATCTTTAGCAGAAAATGAAACCCTAATTTTTTAAAGACACCAGCACACAATCCTATGTAATGCTTGTGATCCCCAAATTAGGTTCAAACAGTAAAATAGCAGCATGGTTAGAAGTTAAAGGCAGAGAGTGGAGAGAAGGAGAAAGAGAAAAATGTTCAAGGACAGAGGTACCAGAAGATAGTTTTCTCACAACAAAAGGCAACAAGAATGGAGAAATTCATTTGAAGCTTCAGCCTTCCCCCCAGTTTTTAGCACAACTCTGGGAAATAAGATGAGATGAGAGAGTTACTGACTCAGTCACCCAGTGAGATTCAACAGCTGACAGTGGACTTGAACCAGGGAAACTCCAGTCCTAATACAGCATCTTAACTAATACACTATATTAGCTCTATTATTATTAAGGCAACATTATTAATTGTAATTATATTATTACATAATGTTAAAAAGAGCCAGCATGGTCTAGTGGCTTAGGTGCTGGAGAAGGACTGGACAGATTCAGGTTCTAGTCCTCCCTTAGGCATGGAAGCAAGCTAGTTGACCTTGGTCCAGTCATTCCCTCTCAGCCTAAACCTGTAACAAGCGACTGATAAACAAACCCTCATCACTGCATCATGGATTAATAGCTTCACTGCAAGAACTAGGTGAGTACAAGCTAAAAATAAGCAGGCCCTGCAATTATGCAGGACAAACACTAGGACGAAGAAGAAGACTATTAGTATAGTACTTCCCTCGTAGTATCTACACATTCAATATACCATTACTGTATTCTTCCAGAACATTAGCAAATACAGGCTGCAAATCTATCCTCTGGAACAACATTCCCCCAGATATTTGGATGACTCCTATCTTACCAGACTTTAAAAGAGCACTAAAAGCATGGCCATTATCCTGGTCCATGGGTTAGTGTAGTTGGGTGGACCTTCTTGTCTCTTTCTGCTGGTGGAGGAGAGAGTCTGGTTGCTGTTCCCTTGGGTGATGCTATCTACTGGGTTTTATTGTTGATAGTATCATTTTGTATATGTTAAGCTCCCCAGAATACCCCGAGAGAGAGACAGACAGACAGACAGGTCCAGATTTGGTAGTACATAAGTCTCCAATTTTATTTGTGAGACTAGCTTCACTCATTTATTAATGTAAAAAACTGGGTTCAGAGGATGGGAACTATTTTGGCAAAATTAGCTTGTTGAGAAACTTGGACACCCAAAAATACTGTTTCAGCTTTCAATTCATATTCAGTGGAATGGATTCTCTTATACCCTAGAGAAAAATAGGAGACTTTGTCTTGAGCATCCTCCTGTGGGCTCAGATTAAAACATCAAAAAAGTGTTCTTCACATTTACTATGTCATAATAAATCTTGCTTTATATGATGGGAACAATGTAGCTTCCCTCTAGAGGTTGTGCACTTCTCATCTTAAACTTTACTTCTATTTCTGATTAGCTGAGGCGTGTCATCATTCATACTAGAAATTTGTTATTAACCATATGAAATAAATAAACAGTTTATGTGAAATAAACTAACTTCAATGTATGGTTTATAAGGTGGTTTGTTTCTACAAACCAAAAAGATAAACCATATTATAGGCTCTGAACTATTGCTAAGTCGTGGCTAAGTGAAACTGGAAATAAAGCTCCTACTGAACCATATGTGAACAAACTTTCTAAGGTATGTCTAAAACATAGGTATAGTTAGCAGTATACCTATTGAAGTTATGGAAGTAAACTGGTTGGCCAGAATTCCTTGCTCCTAGCAAAAGCCACTGAACTAATTTGAAGAAATATTTAAACCTATCAGAAGCCTCAACTGCTAAACCTGACTAGAGAGGAACAGATCAGAGGGAGAGAAAACAGTAGTCAGGGATCCTTCCACCCTAACTAGAGACCCCCTTTTCCCACTACTAGCTGCTATTACCAAACTCATGAGAGGGAGAAGTCCTTCTGTTGTGTTCTGATCTTCAACCTGCTGAATTCTGCAACTAAGAAACCCTTTTCAATGCCTTGGATGGTTTGCTATCTTTCTCTTTTCCTTTTGCGCACTGACTTTAAGACTGTAAGCTTATAAGTAAAGGTTATCATTTCTATTCTTTAGAAGCTTTTCTACTTCAATAAATAAATGCAAAGTAACCCAGGAAGGCTGTTCTTTTTCCTTTAATATCCAATTTTTTCATTACAATTCCCACTATCCCTACCATTTATGGTTATTGGCTACAGAAGGGAAGAAAGAATGGAACTGACATTTGATGCATTTAGAGGATGTCAAATCAGGAAAAGCTATTAATATCATTTATATGACATGTTTTCAGCACTCAGTTTTTTAACTGATCTAAATATGATAAACTATTGGTTTTTATTATGGAGCTAGATTTTTTATATTTTACAATGCTACAATAAGGTAGCATTTGATAAGGCAATTTAACTGCCTGGAACAAAATAGGGTTGGGGTTAGAGTTAATAAATGAAGATTAAAAATGCAGACAGATTTAGTCAGTGGAACAAGTCTGTTTCTTATTTAAGAAAAAAGTAAGTGTTTACAATTTGACGGACATTTTTTATCACCATGCAACTTCTGAAACTCTGCATGATGACAGCAAAAATGAGTGAGCTCACAGCTGAATTTGCTGACTAGAGGACTTAAGTAAACTAAATAAGTTTTGGGGTCATAAAAATAAATGAGATCATACCTTGAACTCCCTCTAAGAGTAGACCGACACCTTTTCTATAAAAGCCAAATGCAGCTTCATAGTCTTCCTCTTCTTCTTTCTTCAAGGCCAGCTTTATCAGTTCTCCAGCTTTGTCCAAATAGTCTCTCCTGCCAAGCTTGGCCTTCAAGCTCCCAGTGAATAAACCCCGGCTCTCCCTCTCACTCTCAGATTTGCTCCATTCATGGTCTGAAATGGCAGAAGCTAATGCTGGAGGTTCAGCAGCAAAGCTGAGACCAAGAGATGTGCTGGGGGAATTCTGGTTAGATGCCATTCCATCATCTAACTCAACAAGAGAATCTGCATCAACAGTCAAGGAAATTAAGTTGCTGTCACTGGATAAACCTGAAGTACAACAAAAGAATGGAGACAAAAGGAATGAATGGCCCTGCTAATTCAGCCTTCTCCCATGAAATAATATCTGATCATCTAAAGAACCCCTACTAGCAAGTCTTGATTTAGAGCATGAGCTTAAGTAAAAGAAATATCCATGGAAGATATTAATTTAGATGTAAATCAAAAGGACACCTTGGGAAAAACTTTACTTCTATTTTAGTGCCAGACCACTGCCTCTAAAAAAGATAGTGGCCTTTCTTTTATATGATGATTAGAAGGTTTATTAGGATAATAGATGTGATGTACTTTGAACACTTAGCAAAGTACTTCATATACACAAGTGATGATGAAGAAGAATGATTGATGAAGAAGATTATACAATTTATAGCTTACTTTTGTACAACAAATTATATAACCTCTTCCACTGGTAATTAAAAAACAAGAACTCTGCCAGATCAAACAAAAAATCCATCTAGCTGAGCATTTAATTCACACTGTGGCCCAAGAAAAGCCCACAGGAACCCACAATAGCAGCCCATCACTCAAGCTTCCCAGCAATTAATTCTGAGAAGCTTATGGCTCCAGAGGTAATATATAGGCAGCATGTCTTGTAATCAGTGACAATTTTTCCTGTTTGAATTTATTTAATTTCCTTCCAAATCATTCTAGTCAGTGACTATTATCAAAACATGTTGGGATGCAACTTCTATAGTTTCATGTGAGGAAGCTTTCTTTTATCTGTCTCAAACCTCCAAACATTCAGATTTATTGGATGAATCTATGTTCCAATTCAATGGGAAAGGAATACAATATTCTGTCTTCCTTTTCCATACCATGCATTGTTGTTTATATTATGCAGAGCATACACTTGCTTATGAATCCTTTTTTTAACCTAATCTAAAAAGTCTCAGTGTAATATTTCCTTACAAAGGAGTTTTAGATTTGTCTTATTAAGATTTTTCCGGAACAATTAATGTACAATTGGGTACATTATCTATCTACATTAGCTGTCCAGATTATTTTGATAGTATTTCAGAGTGGTGAACCTACCCATACCTCATATCTCTTCTTCTTTAGTGTTTCTGCAAGAGATATGAGGTATGGGTCTCCAAAGACTTTTAACCACTGAGTAACATAGCTTTCTCAAAGGACATAATGGCATTTAACAGTAACCCATCCTTCTTTTCACAAGTGGAAAAATGTAATAAGTAAGTGAATAACACCAGACTAGTCCCCATTGCACAGAGATTTATAATCACCATTCTTGTGTCTATTTAGAGCCCATTTGTAAATAAATCAATGAAACACAGCCCAAAAGTCACTGAGAATTTGAATAAGAAGCTGATTGTATACCAATTCATATTCGGTGGACAACTTATTTTACTGCTGTAGAGTAGATCTGGTGTGAGATTAGAGCATTCCAAAAGGCTTCATACTGAAAGTATAAACCAGATGAGAATTATGCAACACTCAGACTAAAAGAACTAGCGCAGTCGCATAGCTATGAGACTGAGTTCAAAATCAGGTAGTCCAAAATCAGAAGTCTTACTTCTGCCAAAAATGCATTGATGATCTTAAGCTGGAGGAGAGGAGCAATAGCTTAACAGGCAGACCAATGTTTTGCACATAAAATGTCCCAGATTATAGCAGCTCGCTCTCTCTGAAACTGCTACAATTCAGAGTAAATTATTTATGGTCATTCAAGCCCTTGTACCTCTCATCTATGCTGCTACAGTTCACTTTACAAGGGGCTGCCCTTGAGGACTATTCAGAAATGCAGCAGCCTGCATGGTAACAGGTTATGTATGCCTTGTTACCCATGTGACACTATTACTGTGGGAGCTGCCTCGGTTGCCAATGAGATCCAAATGCAATCCATGCTGCTGGTGATCCTTGTAAAGCCCTATTTAGCTTGGAATCTGGTAATGTTCAAAACTGTGTGCTGCAAGTGAATCCACCCAAAAAGGGCCAACACATTATGGATATTCCTTCTTTTGCAATTAAATAAACAAAGAACCAACCCAGCACTATTCAATTTATTCCACTCTTTCTTACCTCCATATTCTGACTGGTTAAGTGTCACTTCATCAAGGACACCAATATCCTTCCGAGCTGCAGAAACAAAAATAAGATGAAGCCAACGTTAGTTATGCATAGGTTTGAACTAGGACAGGCTCATTGCAGTCAGGCAATTCGAAATAGAAATAAAAGGGGGAGGGTCAGTTTGTTGGGTAAATTCACTCTAGAAAAATATAAACAGTTCTTTTCTAAAAGCAAAAACCAGCCTCTCTCAACCATTCACCATCCAGATATATGGTCTTATAACTCCCCAGATTCCCAGCTAACCTGGCCAACAGCCTAGATTAAAGATGTACCACAATACCACAAGTGTTTAGATACTTGAATTGCATTTTCCCCTGCTGTTGTTGTTTTTATCTGGTCTGTATTTATTTTCAGATTTTACATTATGTTCTACTGCATTTGTGAATTTTATGTCTGAAACCTCATTTGGTGAATCCTCAAGAGCAGTGGCTATTGGATGACCTAGAAATACACCAAAAAGCCAATAACAAAAAGAAAGAGGACTACGTAGTTTATAGCCAAAACATTAAATAAAAATAATCTGAAAAGGTATTGCTGCAATAGGCTTTATTCCATCATGGTGAAGACTGAGATTTCTGCGTAAGAGGGAGAAGCAAACCAGGGAAAATTTACTGCTTGTAAAGTCCAGAAAATTAGAGCTGAAATGTAATGCTGCCATCTAGAGGAGATGAAGATTAAGAGAGATACTTTGGGTTTCTGGAAAAAACCCTCAAATTACTCAGTGGCCCGTTTTTCACCATAACACCATACCAGAGGTCCTCAATTTGAGGCCCAAGAGCCACATGGGGCTCTGAGAAATTTGGGGTATGGCTTCCAAAGACCATAAAAAGTTGTTACCAAATCCAATTTTAATGTGACGGAAAAAGGGGAAATGTTAAGGCATAACTGAAAAGTATTGGCATATTTTATTGTTTTCTTCTTATCAATCCTTTCTTTCTGCCCACTGGGCACTCAGGGAAACAAATAAACAAACAACATATCAACTGTGAACACTTAAAACACCATAAAAATAGTTAAAATCACAATTTAGATTTAGTCCTATTTTGGAGAGAGAGGCATCCAGCATGCCACTCAAAAGCCAAGGAAACAATTCTATACTGTGCTAAACCAGGATTGTTTTGATCTCACTACAGCATGCAGATGTATTATTACATTGTAGGCATTGTAAAATGCAAAAGTTTGGTTTCTGGTTCCATAATAAATCATAATAGTTTATTGTATTTAGATCACTTTTTTACTAAGGGTCCAAAACATGCCATATAAAATTCCTCAATTGTCTTTCCCAAAAATAAGATTACTATGGTTTTTGCAAGAAACCAGAGTTTAAAAAAAATCAGCTGGAATTAGATTACAAAAGGTAAGAAGAGAGAAGCCAACCTTCAGAACTGCAGGTAGATAAGCTGTCTGTCAGAGAGTCCACCAGAGGTTCTGCAGGCCCAATCAATTCAGATCCATCATGTACCTCTCCATCCTTAAAACAGACAGAAATCAATGTATATATTTAGCTATTCTTCACTATGGATTAATTAACTTTCACTAAAGGGGGAAAAGCCACAAGAAAAATAGCTAAACCACAGGGCCCCAGGCAACGTGATCTAAAACACTGTTCCCCAACTTGGCCAGCACAAGCATTGTTGAGAATTCTGGGAGTTGAAATCCATATTCCAAATTGGTAAGGATTAGTTTTAGATGTCATATTCTTTCCAGATTGAACCTGAAGTACACATTTAAAGAAAGAACGCCCAATAGATATCAGATTTATTTATCAATCTAAATAACTAATTAGCAAACACCTTCAAGGTGGCACATATTCCTATCCTAGAAAAATGATATCCAAGGCTGCTATCTATGTTTTCCCAAACATATTGTTTTAAAACAGCCATACTAGCTTTTAGGATAAAATAGATTTTTAAACCTGAGAGGCATTCTGGCTATACACAAAATTCCCCAAAGAAGAAATTGCTACTGAACCATCTGCACAGATACATCAAATAGTTCATAACTCACCAGATCTCCTGCCCCAGCTACTAGAAAAGAAACAGAACTATCTTATCTTAAATTAACTTTCACCTATGTTTAGTTTGATACCCCTCAAACTAGGATGGTCACCCCTCTAGAAAATATCTCTGCTGGTTTTATATCCATTTAGCAGCCATATTTCTGTTGTACCAATTCAATCATTACACCAAACCATAATTAACACACCATGATTGTAAACCTACCACAAACCATAATGTGAACTTGTTTGCCAGTCACACAAAGGTTGTAGTTTCTCAGTTAGGATCATCAAAACATATTTTGGCATCACACCATGGTTGGAAGGTATATGATACAACTGAGCTTAAGCAACTCTGGGTCTGCTTAATGCCTAGAAGAAAGGACAGCCATGTTTGTCTCCCTAAGCCCTCATGGAAGAAATGCTGGATATACATAAACAAGCTTCCCTAATACAGTTTGGTATGACGTGTGAAGTTAGCCAAAGTAAGTAAAAGTCAAATGGATCAGACCTAGGCTGCAAAAATCTGCATGACCAGTAAATGGTAGCAAAGAGATACAGAATTACTCAAATACTTTGCTGCCATCTTAGAGATGAGTGTTTGGATCAATGTTTCTCAACCTCAGCAACTTTAAGATGTGTGGACTTCAACTCCCAGAATTCCCCAGCCAGCATAGTCCACACATCTTAAAGTTACTGAGGTTGAGAAACACTAGTTTGGATATTTGTAGCCCTATCCAGTAGTACTACATGCACTCTAACGTAGAAGTATGGGTATCTGCAAGGAAGGACAAGGAGGAACAAATGTGCTTGATGCAAATGCCACAATTTACATTTTTTGCATCAGATATCCTGACACAAGTACTTTATTGCATGTGCGCTGTCATGCTAACATCATCTCTGTTTGCTGCAGAGGCCACTTGATAGAATATCATCAGTGTGTAGTTACTAATCTGACTGCTAACTAGTAGACACTCTCCTTCCTTCCAATGTGTACCAGTAATATATTTATGGCAGAAAACATGAGCAAAGCAGCAGTTGTTTGCCATGATAATACCATAAGATTTTCCACAGATCTGGACTTCTACAGATATACCCCAAATTTTATAATCTATATGGTACTTTATTAATTTGTTTCACAACATTTATATACTGCCCCAGTCTGAAATTCTCTAGGTGCTCTTTATTCTAATAAAGTGCCTTTCTGTTTTTTATCCTATGGAGGATGATTTGCAATAGTGACAGCATGTGTAGCCTAGTTATATCACACAGCACTCTGTTTACGCAGAGATAATTTCCTGAGTAAACGGCTTGACATGGAGGAATGGAGATATATAATTATATATGTATTCTTAGCATACTACAGAGATTCTGATTTAACTTAGACCAACCCTGAGAATCTAATCATTTGCAACTTCATTGTGTAGATGGGGAGGTGAAGCTACAGGTAGCTGGCCTTGAACAAATTGAAATAATGCATAGAGATTGCTTATATTTTCCTGAGATTTATAGTGAACTGCATTTGTACCGATTTTTACAGAGTAGTAGCACTAAGAACGACTTCACTCACACAGCCAAATGAAATCATTTAAAAGATGGGCTAGCTTAGTTAGATTAACCTTAAAGAAATCCTCAAGCTGCTTGCTATTGTAGAGCATGGGGATGTTGGCAGAAAACTGAAGCAAATCTTCTGCACACTGTCTTCTCTCTTCAATCACACCTTCTTCAAATCGCCCTGAAACATAAACAAAATCAACCTTCTGAGAAACAAGCCATTTTTTTCTTGCAAAAATCCCTTATGAGAAAAAAAGCCCCACATCTATAAAGCCACGCAACTGCTTCACAAGACTGCGTCAACTGTCCAGGCTCAAATGTCCCAGAATGTTTTGCCATCTATTAAAGATGCATACAATCTGGCAGCCCAAATGGAATTTAAAGCTCCGTCTTTTTTAAGAACGCATAAAACAATACTTTCAATTAGTGAATAAAACACCTAATATATACCATCAATGTCCAAAAGATAAATGAGGTAAGGCTTGTCACATTACAGATCTCTGTACTCCATCCACTGCAGCCCTAATCCCTTATGGTTGCAGACTTCAGCTATTTAGTTTATGCTAAAGACGAAGACTTGGATTCTGAATTTCTCTTCTCTAAACACCATGCACAGGACAGTCTTGCTACTGGAAGAAAGAGAAGGCCATTTTTATTCCCTCCCTCCCAAAAATCTGTTCTATTTAGATTCAGTGGGAAGAGATGGTGCAGGAGGATTACAACCTGAATGAGAAAAAGACTATCACATCACTGTATTATCGATGGAAGGGGCTTTCTATTCCCCAAAAGGACAGTTGGGATCCAGGAAGCCACAGTACAGACAGATATGGTGAAACAGACTGGCTCCAGGTTGGCAAAGGAGTGAAACAAGCCTGTATACTCTCCCCTTATTTATTCAACCTATATGCTGAATATACTGTATATTAAGGGAAGCTGGACTGGAAGAAGATGAGCATGGTTTTAAAATTGGAGGAAGAAACATCAATAGCCTGCAATATGTTGATAACACTACCCTGATAGCTGAAAATACAAAGGATCTTCAAGCCCTAGTAATAAAATTTAAGGAGCACAGTGAAAAAATGGGACTGAAATTAAATATAAAGAAGACCAAACCAATGACAACAGGTAGAACCACCAGCCTTAGAATAGGCAATGAAGATATCAAAGTGGTGGATAGCTTCTGCCTTTTAGGATCAACCATCAACGGTAAAGAAACAAGCAGTCAAGAAATATGCTGCAGACTAGCACTTCATAGCGCAGCCATGAAGGCCTTGGAAAAGATAATCAAATGCTGTGATGTCTCTATACCTATAAAGATCAGAATCGTGCAAACCATGGTATTCCCATGGTGTGACACTCTATGGAAGCAAAAGTTGGACTTTGAAGAAGCAAGTTAGGCAGAGTATTGATGCTCTTGAACTTTGATGCTGGAGAACACTCCTGATAATACCTTGGACAGCCAAGAAAACAAACTGATGGATCACTGAACAAATCAACCCAGAGTTCTCACTTGAGACACAAATGACCAGGCTCAAATTATACTACTTCAGACACATTACATGAAGACCTAGCTCTCTGGAGAAGGCTGTAATGCTGGGAAAGGTAGAAGGAAAGAGAAGAAAAGGACAACCAGCAGCAAGGTGGGTAGACGCATTTATAGTAGCAATGAGCGTGCCACTGGAAGAGCTGAAGGACCAGGTTAGGGACAGATCATCAGAGAGAAAA